ACAGCCCTGTGCGCTGGGGTGTGCTGAGGCTGGGCCTAGGGCATTTCAGGACCTAGGTCAGCGCTCTCCCGTGTCCAGCAGGGCTGGAGTCTGCAGCCCCGCCCCAGAGTCTGAGCAATTGCAGCCGTTCGTCACCCTCACAGAGCATTGCAACTTTATGCCTACGCATAAAAACTGGAGGGACTCATCCCAGAGTTTGCTGCCGCCGCTGCCGCCGCTGCTGTTAGAACAGTTTTAATTAGCTGCAGGATTTTAATGAGCTGAAATCAAGAAGAACCCCATCTCAGAAGCAAGCAGGAGCCGCACACACGGAAGAACTCGTCTGACAAAACAGATGGAGGTGGTGTTCTCAGGGGACTGGGCTGTGTGCTCCGTTTCGGTGAGGAGCAAATGAGTTACTGAGGCCAGGAGGCTGCAGAGGAGAGGCGGGAGGTCAGCCCCAGCGCAGGAGCCTCGGCAGGGGCAGAGCGGAGGCACAGCCCCCTCTGCCGCTCCGGTGGAATGCTTGGTGCCGGATTCAAGGTGACGGCAGTGCCTGGCTCCATTCTCCTCAAGTTGCCATAGCAGCCTCTCTCCCGATGAGCAGCTCCTCCTGGAGCCCTCAGCCGGGAGGGACGTCATTGTTCGCTCCTGCCCGTGCAAGGAAGAGACTGACTGGACAGAGAACTTTCTGGGGCCCGGGGTCCACACACCAAGTGGGTGCTCCCATGGGCACATGGCCGGATGCCTCCGGCCGTCTCCAGTGGGGCACGGGAGCGGGTCCTCACAGCCAGAGGGGGTCCTCTGGGTGACTGGGGGAAGCATCCAGGCCTTGGAGCAGCCGCAGCCAAGCGTGTCCTTGGAGCCATCCGTCCATCCGCCTGCCGGCCTGTCGCCACTGGAGGTGCGTGTGTTTTGGCTGAATTCCCAAGTCCTTGCTTGTGCCCTAAAGTGAATTTTCCCAAGAGACAAATTTTTAAATCAGATAAATAAGGAAATGGGAGGAATCCTTGGCCTTGACCTGTGTCCCAGGAGGTGTTTACAAGATTAATTGGATTTTTTTTTTCTTACAGTAAAAAATTGGCAATGCCATTCAGGCCTCAGGGAGAGAAAGCCACTGGGAAAACGAGGGATTGTGAGCACAGGACCTTCTGGAAACTGAGTGGGCTGTTTATTTTTCTTGCCTCCTCCCTACTCCACCCCCAGTTATTTGAATTGTCTTATTGTCTGTTGGTCTTGGCAGAGAGGCAGGGAGGAAGGGGAGGGTCTTCCACTTGTCATTGGAGCCGAGTGCGATGCACTGTGTCCCAGATGGGAGCAGAGGCCTGTGAATGTGTTTACGGGGCCCTGGGCAGCCTGGCCCCAGCCTGTGACGGATCGTAGGGTCCACTTCCCAGGCAGCAGCTGGACTCCCAGGAGAGGGAGATGAGCAGCCTTTGGACCAGCATCTTCCCATTGCCTTGAAAATAACGTGTGACTTTGAAGACAAGGACCCTCACAGGAACAGTAGGGGATCAGATGTGCACACTCTCTGAAGTGTCTGGTGATCTCCTAGCTCCCCTCCACCTGTAAAGGAAGGAGGTTCCTACAGATTCTGTGATGTTGGCCCCCTCCTGGGGCATTGAAGACCCAGCCAGACTGCAAACCAGCGACCCAGGAGGGGAGGCATGCTAACCTTTTGATTCCCATTTGCACAGAGCAAGGAGTTAGCTGGGTAGGTGGTCTCCAGTGAGAACAAACACCGAGAGGAAGGTCTCAAAGGGGAAGGCTGAGGTCTGATGCTTAGGGCTGGCCGGGGAAAGCGATGCGTGGCTCTAATACCAGCTTCCCTCCCTTCACAGAGAGGGTGCTGTGTTCTCGTGGAGGGGGGCGGGTGTAGAGGGGTCAACAAAAGGGAGGGTCTCTGAAATCAGACACTTGAGTCCCTGATGCTCTGGCCAGCGTGAAGGTGCAGGTCCTGGGGCTGGTTTTCTTCCCCTCTCCCCAGATTTGGGGGCAGAGATGTGGTCCTCATCCTGGTTCCACGCACATGGGCTGCTGGGGCCTGGTTCCACGTGGTGGGTTTGGTTTGGGTAGATTCAGGAACAAATGAGGACAGGTCGTTGCTGCGGGACAGGGGTAGTCAGTACTGGCTTGTATGGTGACAGTGTGACAATTAGGGAGAAGAGGGGGCTGGCCAGTTCTTTTGTAGTCACTTGTGCAGTGCTATTGACCATAAATAATGCAATGATGATCGCATCTGCTTCTGATTCCCCCCCCCCCTTTTTTTTTCATCAAATAGAGCTTTTGGGTTGAGATTGGGTGGCATTTTATTAACAGTTTTGCCAGGTAGCCCTGTGCCCTAGCCATAAACTTGCCGTTCTTTTTCCCCTCCTTCCTCTCTTTCCCTCGCCCTAGGTCAGATTGGTCTCCTGACCACGTCTGTCTGACTCAGGAGGCTGGTGTGGCTGCAGGCAGTGTGTCACCACCACGGCCAGGATAATCAGGGTTTTGCAGCATTTTCTTTACAGCCGGGGCCTTGCTGGGGCCTGTTGATGGAGTGTGTGTGCCGTGGCATATGTGTGTGTGTGTGTGTGTGTATGTGTGTTAGTGCGTGTGCCTCTGCTCCAGAAAGGTCTTGAGCTGCGCCCCTTGCTCCCTACCTGAGGGTCTTGTCCTTGATGAACCAGTGTGTGTGACATTGTTCCCACTCTTCTGACTCCTTTCTGTGACTGCATGGGCCCCCCCCCCAGGGGTTAAGCCAACTTCTCTGGGGCAGGAGGGCCCAGAGTGAGGGCCAGAGAGAGCAGCTCCATCTCCCCCCATCCTCTCCCACACCTTGGGGCTGGCCAGGGTGGTCCCGGCACACAGTGCCTATCATTACGAAGGGAAGGGCTTGGGAGATCTCAGGACACAGGGCATCCTATGGGCAGTGTTGAGAGTGACCTTGCCCTTCAGTGGGGCCTGGGCCTGCATGGCTGCACCTGTGTCTCTGCAGGACAATGAGCCAGGTCCCCAGGACCCATCCCGGGCAGCCGTAGAGGGAGAAACCACAGGCCCCCACGAGGGACTCCAGGGTCTGAACCTTTGGGGACAGGTGGCTGCCTGTTTTTACCCTGTGTAAGCCCCGTGGGTGTCCCTGGCAATGGCAGGAAGCAGCAGTCTTTCTTGGGGTGGGGCGGGGGGAGGCCATTGGAAGGGAAGTCAGGGCCAACTTCAAACCTGGAGCCAGCTCCAGAGACAAAACTGAGCCCTGCTCAGCGCTGCCTCCCAAACATCAAAGCTGGGAGGTCGTGGGAACCACCTGCTCAGCACAGCCCAGAGAGCCCAGCGTTCAGGCGCGTTCCCCATGCATAGAGGCCTGGGGCAGGTTAATTAAAGTTAACTGAGTGAAAACATAATTACAGTGACTGCAGAGGGGAGAAACCCAAACCTGCAATTTAACACTCTTCAGCACCAGAGCTTTGCTGAGGACAGTCTAGTCGTTGGGAATCTTTGTCTGGGCCTGGGAGGGAAGGGCTCCTCTTACCACTTCCTGCCTCCTGCCCCCCAGGAGCATGAGGACACAGAGGGACCATAGCTGGGGCTTCCTCCCCCAACACCTGGGTGCCTGGTCAGGAATGGGAGCCCTGACCAAATTACTGTGCCTGAGAAGACCCCCGGCAGGGAAATGACCCTGTGCCAAGCAGCACATCTGGCCTGGGGTCCCCGCCACCCAACTATGATCTCAGAGGCTGCTGGAAGCTGTCCTCCTGGCCTCTACCTCCCTGAGCACTGCCCTGTGCCAGGGCTGGGGAAGCTTCCTACAAGCCTGTTTTGGTAGAAAGAGGGTGGTATCTCTAAGCCCGAACTTAGGAAGGGGCAAAGACAAGGGCACAGAGCAACCTTCCACCACCAACAGGGGAAGTTCTGGAATGCCATGTAGCATGGCCTCCTGTGCAGATCGCTCTCCGGCCCCTATCCTGCTCCACCCATGCCTCCCCCTGCTGCAGGAACTTACATCCTTCCTATGAGCAGATGGCCTTGGGGTGCCCCCCCCCTTGACCCACAAGCTTGGCCCATTTGGAGTCACTGGTTGGTATTTCTGTGCCCTTCAGGAGGAACCAGGGGGAGGGGCAAGTCACCTGGGCATGCTCTGGGTCTGCAGTGGCCAGAGCAACAGGTGTCACAGGGATGTTGTCACCGGTCTCTGAGCCTGGGATCTGTCAAATGCAAGTCAGGCTGCCTCAGCTCCAGGCCAGAGGGCCTCATAGTGGGAGTAACCGTGATCGGGCCAAAGCTTCAGTTCCCACTGATGCGACGGACTATCCAGTGGGGTCTCCATCCTACCAGCCCATCTGTGGGTCAGGGCGGCACAGCTCTGGCTGGTGAGGGAAGCAACCAGGAGGGGGAGTCTCTGTCCCTGGTAGCCTCTGGGCCTGGGAGGCTCCTTCTCAAAGTATCTCGCTCTGTGGAGACACTTGTCCCCAGCATCCTGCAGGGAGGAGCCAGGGCAGAGAGATCCAAGAGCTCCTCTGTCCACCAGGACAGTTATAAGGGACAAAGGCCCAGATTGCTGCCTCTTCTCGGGGCGTAGACCCTTTCTAGGGAGCACACCTGCTCTGTTGGAAGCTCAGAGAGCCTGGACAGTGCAGGGCCCATTACAGGCTCTGGGTCTCAGGGCTCCAGCCTGGGCTTCCCCAGGCAGAGTCCGGGGAGTGTCTCTCTCCATGATTTTTCTGGGGGTGCAGATACAGGGGACCCTGCTGGGAAGCTGGTGTCCCAGCAACAGGTAGTGACTGGACTTCCCTCAACCTCTTTGGGCTGGAAGGATGCAAGGGACATACCTGAGTACATTCTAAGGGATGGAGGGATCCAGGGATTATGCTTGGTCATAGGCAGTGACTGGGGCCTCAGCCCACGTAGGATGCCCTGTGCCTCAGTGATGGACCATCTTTCTCCCCATCTGCCCTGTAGACTGTGGCCTGATGGACGCTTGGTGTGGATGATGAGGGAAGAACGCACCTCCCACACCCGAGAGGTGAGCCCGGAGCAAGCCCCGGATGACCCCACGAGCCGGAACGATGCGGCTGGCCTGCATGTTCTCATCCATCCTGCTGTTTGGAGCCGCAGGCCTCCTCCTCTTCATCAGCCTGCAGGACCCCACGGAGCTCTCCCCTCGGCAGGTGCCAGGTGAGCCCTTGCGCTCGGCCCCGCCGCCCACTTGCCCCAGCTTTCCTGTCCACAGTGCAGGCCTCCACGGCTGCCCTGGTGCCCAGTCTGTGCTGAAGGTTCCCGGCAGGCAAAGGAGGGGTCCTGGCCTTCTACTGGCAGGCATCAGCCTCTGGCCTCTGGCCTCTAGCCTGTGGTCACTCCTCTTGAAGTGAGGGCCAGGCTGCCTGTCTCTCAGCCAGTTGTTGCTTTCGGTGAAGCTGAGGCTTAAAGAGGATTCTGCCATCTCTTGGGGCCTCTCCCACACTGTCTGGGACATCAGAGGGTGAATGGCTTCTCCTTGAGCCTGTGGCCCCCATGGGACTCTGTTTCTGTGCCAGCCCTGGAACCCCTCGAATCCAGCCCCTTGGCCTGGGCCCCTCCTGCCTTTGTGAAGCTGAGATTACCCCACCTCCCACCTGCATCCCACACGTCCCTCGTGAGCCACTGAGGGGAGCACCCTTCATGACTTACAGAGGTCTGCTGAGGACAGGTGGGGTGCAGCGAGGAGACAAGGGGAAGGATGGTTCTGGAGCCTCAGGCAGGCAGAATGTGGAGAGGGGCGCTTAGGAGGGTGCCTGCTGCTCAGACACAGCCCTTACTCGTATCTCAGCTGTGGGCCTGGGGGCCTTTAGCAGGGAGGTCTGTGAAGACACCCATGTGCTCCAGGACGAGGACAATATGGAAGAGTAGAGGCCGTGGATTTAGGCAGAGAGATTCCTGCACCACTCTTGCCTGCAGGGCTCACCCTATAGGAGAGCAGTGCCCAGCCCTTCTCCAGCCCCACCCTCAGCTCTGGCTGCCTCACCCCTCCTAAGCACAGATTGAAGGCCCATAGGCATCAGGTAGAAAATCAGAAGGGGCACAAGGAGACTAGAGCAGGGGCCCTGGGCCTGGCAGCTGCTACCAGAGGCCCCGGTCGGGGAGGCCAATGAGTTCATTCTTTCATCAACTAGAGGCAGCCAGGGCAGTGGGACCCCAGGAGACAGCAGGCAAGTCACAGGTACTGACTCACACCTGGGCTGGGGCCTCACAGAGGGTGGGGGAGTGGCTGTCAGAAGTGGTTCTGGCTCCTCCCCGGCTTCTGAAGCAGCAAGGACATGTGACCAGGATGGCTCCTCTGTGGGGACCTCACAGCCTCACGTGAGCCTTAGAGTGGCTGACGGCCCTATGTCGGCAGAACCCAGCCCCATGGGTCAGGCCGGCTGAGATTGGCATCCCCAGTTGTATGTTATCTGTGCAGAAATGAGGTACTGAACAGGGGTCCTCAAGTATGGCTTGGGGTAAATGGTGTATCCTTGGGGGTGACCCATGGATCTTTGGTGCCTGTCTTGGTGCGTGTGTGGTTGGGGCACACACATGGGCAGAGGGTCTTTGTGTTCGGGGTCCGTGCTCTGTGGGACAAGCCCGGGAGGGAAGGCGTGAGCGTGCCTTTGGGGCAGGGCCATGCCCCCGTCCATGGTACACTGCTGGGACAAATGCTATATTCCTGGGTAGAGTTGGGATCTGGTGGCCGGGATGTGTGTCCTGCCATGTTGCAGCCGGCCGTCAGATCAGAGTACTTGATCTTTGTGTGTCCTGTGGGTGGCAGATTCTTGCCCCTCACACCAGCTGGCCTTGCCCTGCACAGCTGTCCCTGAGCATGTGGATCTTTTCCATCACCAGTGGGGCCAGGGCCCACAGGACGGCTAGGATCCAGGGTGGAGTGACGAGCCAGGAGAGAAACCAAGAGCCTCGGGCTGGCACGGTGTGTGGGATGACACGAAGCTCAGAGGAGTGTCCCCCTACAGTGGGGATAGCGTGGGCCTGGCAGACCGTGCACAGAGCACACTTGGGGCTCAAGCCGTGTTCTTCTGGCTGTAAATGGAGCTGGACCACTTTCGCCACGTGGCGGGTGAGAGGCAACCTTGACGTTCTACGTAAATCACATCAAACGCAGTCATAAAACTTTAAGTAATGCTTATGTTACTTTCCCTGAGCAAAGTGTTCCTGACACAGGCTGTTTGTGTTGATTTGTTACTATTCATTTATTCTTTCCCTGTACTTCTCACAGCAGCCTAATTGTGATTCGGTACCAAGAAAGCAATATCAAAGTAATTTTCCACAACATTAGTTACAATTTTCTTCTGATCTTTCAAGTGAAACAATCCCATCCTGTTGGCTTCTCTGAGCATATAAACCTTGATTACATTTATCTGTTGGAAACCAGTGCTTACAAAGTGTATGTATCCAGTTGCGTGGGTGGGTGGCCCCCAGAGCCTGGACAAGCCTTCTCCCTGTGGATTTCTGCCTGTGGGAGGTACAAAGTCAGGAGGCTGCCCTGCCATCCGGATTGGGTAAGGCCATTGGGAATGCCATCTACAGAAGAAATTCCACACAGGCTATACTGGCTGTCATAGTGGCAGAAACTTCCCTGGGAACGCAGTGTCCGGGAGCCACTGTTGGTGGCGTTGACCAAGGCAGAGGGCAGAGGGGTTGAGGCAGCAAGTGAAGATCCAGAAATAAGCTTGAGAGTGGGAGAAGGAGCCTTTAGTTGCTTGTGGCCCCTCGGAGTCGGGCGTTGTTCAGATTTCTCCTGCAGAGTTATTAGGTATTAATAGCATCTGAAGCTCTCAGGGACCAGACAGCAAACCTTGCCTGACTCGTGCATTCAATGGAATCATATGGGCTTGCCAACTTTTGTAAATCAAGCCATTTTTCCAAAATGTTTGCTATATTTTAAATCAATCAAACCTCTTGAAACGTGAATCGCTGCTGGTTAACCTGTTGGGTAAGATTAGATTTTGGTGTGCATCAGAGAATTCACCTATCCAAATGATTTTCCAGTCTCCAACATTGCCAGGCCACAAGGCCTCAGGAAACTCACTTCTTGACTCAAGAGACTAGACTTGCCCCTTCTGTAGGCGGAAGACTCAGAGAATAGGCAAGAACCTGAATAACACATCCCAGCCTGCTGGCCCTGGAGAGGCAGAAGACAGGCTCCACGTGTGGAGCTGGGCAGACGTGTGGAGCCACGTGTGTGGCTGGGCAGACTGAAATTTTATGAGGGGCCCCTCTTTATGAGCTTTTTCTTACGGAGGGTTTAGAACCGCCCAGAGTCGATGAGAATAGTACTGATGGGCGCCATTAATCTGTGGACTCCAGCAGTGTTCTAATGCAGCTGCACTCCAAGCAGCCACATCCTCATCTGTCCTGATTTTTTTTTTAATTTTTTTTTTTTACACTTTATTTATTTTTTGAGAGAGAGAGAGAGAGACAGAGCACAAGTGGGAGGGACAGAAAGAATGAGAGAGAGAGAGAGAGGGAGAGAAAGAGGGAGGGAGACACAGAATCCAAAGCAGGCTCCAGGTTCTGAGCCACGTTACAGAGTCCCCACATGGGGGCTGGCTCCTGAATCACAAACTAAGTTTTAGATCATGACCTGAGCCAAAGTCAGAGGCTTAACTGACTGATTTTTGAAGCCTGTGCCGGTACCATATCAATTCAGCCAGAAATGTTACGATGTATTTCTCACTTTAAGAGATAAGAACTCTGTTTTAAAACTTTCAATAATTCTTTACTATCCAGCGTTCAAATTCCTAAGTTGAATCCCAACTCTTATAAATACTTTTATTTCCACTTTGTTTTATCCAGTATCCAGATACAGCCCGCACACTGCAGCTCAGAGGATGAGTCTTTCAAGTCTCTTTCAATCTGTAATATTCTCTCCTCATCTTGATTTTTCTCTTGCTATTTATTGGAGGAAACTGGGTCACAGGTCCTACAGAGTTTCCCACCATTGGGATTTTTTTTTTTTTAACGTTTATTTATTTTTGAGACAGACAGAGACAGAGCATGAACGGGGGAGGGTCAGAGAGAGGGAGACACAGAATCCGAAACAGGCTCCAGGCTCCAAGCTGTCAGCACAGAGCCCGACGCGGGGCTCGAACTCACGGACCATGAGATCATGACCTGAGCCGAAGTCGGCCGCTCAACCGACTGAGCCACCCAGGTGCCCCTCCATCGTTGGGATTTTTGTTGGTTTTACTCATTTGGTGTCGTTGTCTTCTGTTCTTTGCATTTCCTGTAAATTAAGTAAACCTAGCAGCTTGAACAGATAGAGGTTTCTTTTCTTTTCTTTTCTTTTCTTTTCTTTTCTTTTCTATTCTTTCTTTTCTTTTCGGCAAGAATGTCCACGTGGTCATATGTGCTTTCATCAGGAGGCGCATATCTGCCTGGCTCTCTTTTGCAATGTCAACTAGCCACTGATGATGCACCTAGATGTATCCATTCTTCCGGGCTACACAATGCAGTGCTCTGATTTCATCATTCCTTCTTCATTCTTTTAAGTGGGATGGATTTTGTTTTCATGGGACGAGGGGAGTCATTGGTAGTGACCCAGGAAGTCAGGGTGACGGTGGATTGATTGGTTTATTCATTGGTAAATAAAAAAAATTTAAAACTTGACCTTCTGATACAGATTCTGTGGTTAACACACTACGAGTTCTTTCTTTTTTTGATGTTTGGTTTCTAGAGTGAGTTTTCTTAAGGCAGGGCCACCTCATGTTTCAGGGAAGTAGCTCTTTGCTTTCCTGAAGCCGTGGAGGTGTGGATGGTGGAGCTGGGGACTGGGCTGATGCTGGAGTGTCAAAGGGGGAGGCAGCTACAGTGACAGCAGGGGTCCCTTCCTGCTCAGGGGCCCCGAGTGCAGACAAAGGGACTGGACAGCCCCTGGTGACTTCCTGGTCTACAATAACCTGCTCCCGGGGCATTCCTTCCACAGCACAAGGGCATCCAAGGATGGTAATAATAACAAACATTGACCAGGATTTTACCATGTGCCAGATCTTGTGTCAAGCACTTTACAGGTATTAATATGTATAATTCTCATAGCTGATTATTCCCATTTACAGGTGCAGTGCCGAGCGGTCACTTGCGTGGACACACAACGGCACTGCTGCCACTCTCAGGCACCTTACGTGTGTTTAGTACTCACTGAATAC